ACTTTACTAAATGAATTTCTTGTAAAGAAGTTATTCTACAGAGTGGAATTAATAGCAGATTTTCGATGTTCAGTGATATTGCCTGTTGAGTAATGTGCCTGTTGAGTAATTATAGGCCATGGCTTGCTTGTGTGCAGCGTGCATTGGTAAAATATGGCCATGCAATATCAGAACTACTTCAAAAGAAGTGTCTCATCATGGTGAAATTAGTTAGTCTGGCGACATGTGCAACAGATTTCATCTTCTAGGTTTTTTTCAAAGGCTTTAGATGACGGGTAAACAATTTGAATTTTTTAGTCGCATTTTAGTTTTCTGACTTCCATAACCACTTTAATTCACACACTGTGGTGCACAATTTAAGGTACTAGTGCAAAATAAGCCCTTTCCCTGCATACAGTCTGTCAATATAAGCTTTACTGGAGAAACAAAAATGCTGACTCAGCATTTTTAAAAAACTTTGGAACGTGATATCTCTGTAACGAACGACTGAAAGTTTTCAGAGTAATTTAGTTTTTTTTGGCCAATTATGCACCTCAATCTGATGGCATTAAACATTTTTCGAAATTCGAACATTTTTACCTTTCGGAACTATAGATGACGTCATCACCAGAATATAGTCGATTTCTCGTTGTTGTACACACTTATGAACGGGGGCTTTTTTTATTATTTCATTTGGCATGCTCCTCTACTACTTTATGAAAGAAATCATTAGCCTCCCGATGTGTGCAACGAAAGTCACTTTCTAGGCATATTTTTAGCCTTATGTGACGGGCCTGACGGCCTAGGTCGTGAGCCAATAGGATTAAGTTCTTTACTTAAATGTTCAGAAATTATATCATTAGATTTAAGTTCGTTTATGAGAGTTCGGACAGCATCTTCACGGCGAGTGGTTTCTTTATATATGTTCGATTTCTTAAGGTTAATTCGTTCAAACTTAGTGTTATCGTCAAGAATGTTAAGCATTCTTGAGTTATAATCCGTGCGGTTGATAATGACAACTCCATTTCCTTTATCTGGCTTGATGAGATAAATGTTGTTGTCCTTCTGGAGTCCTTCAATTATCTTGAACTCGTCATCGGAAAAGATTGATTTCGGCGGAATGTACGTTTTGTAACCCATCAAAGCAATATCCTTTATCCGAGTTCTAATCAACTCTTCGTTAAAACCATTGATCGGGTTTTTCGCAATAGGCTCTTTCTTAAGGATTCCATATAATTTCTCAAAAGGAGCGAGAAAATCACAAAAACGCGGTCGACGCGGTGGTAGGAAAAAGTTGAGGCCTCTTGCTAGGAGGGTCTTTTCAGCGTCGGTCAATGTGCGGGATGAGTAATTAAATATTACTTTGTCAGGATCTGGTGTTGAAGATTTAGACGCATCGCCACACAAACGAAAGAGTTTATTTTAAAATAAAATAGTAATTATTAAAAAAAAAAAAAATAGAGTAAATAGTAAATAAAATAGTAATAGTAAATAGTAATGATAAATAGTAATAGTAAATAATAATTTAATAGTAATAATAATAATTATAATAATAATAATTTAATAATAATTAATAATTAATAATAATAATTAATAATAATAATAATAATTTAATAATAATAATAATAATTTAATAATAATTAATAATTAATAATAATAATAATTAATAATAATTAATTTAATAATAATTAATAATAATAATTTAATAGTAATAGTAAATAGTTTATTTTATTTTGATTTTAAAATCGTTCCCACTGCTACTTCTGAAGCGGATTTATTCATTCGCGAAAGCCTTTTCATATCTAAACTTAATCCTATTTTAAATGCCAACATTAGGTCAACTCCTCTTGACCTATTCTAATGCTTTGCTATAGGTCTCTAATTACTAATAATTACTAACCATTATATCTTTAATTTACTAATATTTTTAATGATAGGTTGTTTTTCATCCCTTCCTCTTATTCGCTTATTTGAATAATGTAACCGTTTAAAAACTGATTTGTATATATATAATGTACGCTTGTAAATAAGTTTAATTGCTCTGAAGATGTTGTGAACAATACAACGAAACGTTAGCCAATAAACTTCATATTTTTGTTATGTCTTGTCTGAAAGTCATTTGCTGGGCTTTAATTTTCATTTTTAAATTACGCTTTCCACCCGGTGTATCAATCGCTGCTGTTTTTATTATTATTTAAGCTGTGCTTGTCAATTTTGCATGTCAACCCATTAATGTTTAAGTATTAACTATCCCAGGTCAGGAGCAACCATGCAAGTTTTAGCTTATTGGTTAAAACTATTGGTCAATAATACTGGCATGGAATAGCATAATAGTAGTGGCAATGATATAGAGAATAATACATGGGTGTGCGGAAATACCAATCTAGACTTATTTCGAGTGTTGAACATGATATCTCACGAGTGAGCGCAGCGAACGAGTGAGATATCATGTTCAACACGAGAAATAAATCTGGTATTTCCTAGCACCAATGTATTTTTCTGTTTATTATATAAACAAAATTCAGTGAAAAACAATAAAACATCCGTGGCAATGCGTTCTACAACAAATGATATTTTCACACGTAAAAATATCGTATTTTTTACGTGTGTTTAAATACGATTTTTCTCAGTGACCAAAAACTCTATATAACACTTATGTTTATATAATAAAAATGATTACTGTACTGTAGATTATTTAGATCATACTGTACTTGTATGTAGAGATAGAGGCTATATTTAGTTTATTTTCCCCTTCAATAGATTCCCCTTATTATGTTTTCGTAGCGCTTTGCATTGTGGTTATAGTGGTATCAAGATGGCTTTTTTTTGTCCCGACCCGTGCAAAACTTTTAAAAAAGCTAGGGTCAGGTGCACGATAGCCAACAGCAAAATATTCGCGAAAACATTCAATATTTTCATCCGAGGCCACTATCTTTATCAGTGATACCACTATAACCACAATGCAAAGCGCTATAAAAAGTAATAAGGGGAATCATCTATTAAGACATTGGCAATGGGTTGAGAAAAGTATTTGCAAATGTCTGATGTAAACTCAATGAAGGCTGGCAACTTCACATCATGGACAAATTTCAGCCTGGCTGATTGGGCACAAGTGAGATACCAGGGTTTGAGTCGAGATACCAGGCTAGCAGCTACAAAACTGGCTAGCCCAGTAATGGTTGAAATTAAAATTTGGCCAACATTGCCATTGGCAGATAATTTGGTTAAATATAAATCAGTAAATGTTTGCCTTTTTTGTGCTCATTTTTTTGACATATGAATATGACAAAGCTAGCCAGCTAGCTTAACCAGCCAGCCAAGTGTGGGCACCCGAAACTGTCAACAACATCCTAACGATCGAACGGTTGCAGCGACGTGCATCAAAATTTATTCTTTCGCTCCTGTACAAAACATCTATCCCGTATAAGAAACGACCGGCTACCATCGAAATCCTCCCTCTATGTTACTGGCATGAGTATTTAGATCTGGTGTATCTTCACAAATGCCTTATAAATAACTCTGACAATAACATATCTATAAAGATCCCTACACGAGAAACAAGGAATACTAGTTCAACTAACGGCGTCCTACTTCATGTAACCAAAAGTAAAACTGTTTCTTTTCAAAACAGCTTTTACATCAGAGCTGCTAATGTATGGAACACGCTTCCCGGCTTCATAAGAAATACCACCACATCTCTAACTACATTTAAATGTAATCTAATGAAATACTACGTAGAATTAACCCAACAAATTTATGACCCTGAAGATCCAAGAATATTTAAGTCTGTGTGTATTAAATGTCACACCACTCGCCCACTAATGAACTTATCAACTCGAACATGTTGCTAAATTTAGTTTTTGTTCGTTTGTTCGTCAATAGGTTTGCGTTGTCTTCTTGTATTTGTGTTTAATTGTTATGTTTGCTTTAACTTCAAAATAATTAGATATACCATTAGTTGTTATTTTTTGGAACCCCGTTATTGGAGAACTATATTCCAGTCATTTGTAACCATAGTACTCTATATAGATCTATTGCAATGGCAAACTTGTAAAATAAAATAAAATAAAATAAAATAAAATAAAATAAAATAAAATAAATAAAATAACCTCAGCACCATTATATTGTTACTGGCAAAGAATTAGCATAACACTTTCATTTATATATACAGTCTACAGTATGATTTATAAACAAGAGAGAAATTCGATCTACTAGCTGTATAAAGTTAAAAGATGCATACCTTGCCTTGAATTCTTCATATCATAGGAAAGTAGTCCGAATACCATACTTAAAGTAAGCAAAATTCTTCACTCAGAGCTTTGGTCTAAAATATAATAACAAATATACTGTCATTTAGAAAACTATTATTAAAAATATCATCTGTAATACGAAGGATTAGTTAGGTCGATAATAATTTAAATAGATTTTTATATTGTGTCTATGATGTCTATAGATCAAATCTATCACAATCAAATGAAGTGTACTAAATAAGTCGCTACAAGATATAAAAATACGAAAATATGATCCATTTAGTTCACCGAATAAACGAGACTTGATATAAACATAAAATGATACAAAAAATCCGTAAGGAAGTGTCCCACCGCCAAAAATTCAAACATCACACTTCGATGATATATGGGGTGGACCTATGTTATATTAAGGGCGATTCGGTGTGCTGAATGTGTAACTGGAGTATCATGTAAATCCAGTGAAGTGAACTGCGCGAGGCCCCTACGCGGAAATTTACTGAATATAGATAAAATTTTATAATTTGTCAGGCGATCATTTTTTATGTCCGGCTTATCAAAGTGGCCTTTCAGCGCAAATTTTAGAAACACTTTATCATAAAAAGCAAAGTTATTTGACGAGTACAAATTTTTCAGTTACAAGTTCCCAAAAAATCCCGCGTAGAAACACCAACAATCTATGACTTCTGAAGGATTTGAACTATACATAGAATACTAGTATATAGACTGCTCTTTAAGTGGGGTATTTACCACTAATTATAAAAAGAGTGTACAAAAATTGAAAAACGTTGATTGGAAAACCTCACAAAATTCACGCGTGTTTCAGTATACCTAAAAGAGAACATTCTTTTGCGTCGATCTTGGCTTCACCCAATAGTATTTATATTAAATTTGATCACTGACCCGACGTCGCCACAACGACGTCAGAACGACGTCGAAACAACGTCGGTTTTGCAACGTCGATAACACGTTATCAGAGCGACGTCGAAACAACGTTGATTATACGACGTCTATAATTCGTCGTGAAGGTGACGTCGAAACGACGTCGATATTTAGTCGATCGACGTCTCGACTTCATTTCGACAAAATTTCGACGTCGAAACGACGTCGTGTACCGGCTGGATATGATCAAGAATTGTGTCGAGGTATAGCTCTCTGTTATAAAAAATATGGTAAAGTCAACCGATGCAGGCAAAGACTCCTCCGTTGCTTGCGGAACAATTTGAATATTTAAATTGTACTCAAAACTATATATAGTATTGTATAATGTTCGTATACACAATTATTTCATATTTATTACAGTAATACACCAGGCACATTATAAATATTATGAAGAGTTTTCATTGCCAGTAGCTTTGTACCTTGATCTATCCTAAATTTTATTTTGTCATGGACATTGAATAGCATGAGATCCAGCTTGTATTTTTAAAATAAACACACGCTGCTGTGAGATATAACTGAAATATATAAGTATCGCATTTACATTTAGCATCCAACTATGCCGTACTAGAGACAAACAGCCTATCAATATGTCAATAGAAACTTTAAACTTTGTGCGTATATAGATAGAGTTTATGAATTATGTATATATAAGGTATAAAGTGTCTCTCTCCGATATTTTGTCAGGGATCAGGGATGCACATAAAATACTTTGCTAAACCTTATCTGTTATTATTCTCGTGGCAAGGTATAAAAGGTGGGGTAAAGTACTATAGAATTATATAGAAAATACTATGCAATATTTAATTGCCTTAAATGTTCAACAACATACTCGTGCAGACAAGAAAGGAAAAGCATACAGTATTGTAGTTGTCTTATAATTCTGTACCGTAGATTCTCTAACAATTTTTGTACCTTATACACTCCTTCCTACAATGCCCAGTGTTTAATATAAACTTTCTACAATACCCAGTATTTAATATAAACTTTAGAATGAATAAAAAGGACAGTCAATGTCATTTGAGAATTTGGTTGGTGTTCAAATTAATGTGTAACCTTTGCCGAAATACCTCTGCACGACCTATAAACATGCAGTCGTAGTTGTGTGTCTTGCATTTGTTAATCCGCCACGAAATGAGCAGTATCTCATTATTTAATTTCAGAAATATTTTTTCTGGCCAAAGACAGGCTAGCTTGACACATCGTTCTTTGGGGATATCAAGAGTCACAGGAGGAATATCTGAACACACTTGGGGGGCGGGGG